TGAAAAAAAAATAACATTATGTATTATGCAACAATATCATGGTAAGTTAAACCTGGGAAGAATTAAGTAGCAAAAAAATAAACACAGTAAAATAGCATAACATGATAAAAAAAAGTTTATATGATTAATATATAGAGAGCTTTCTTTTAGCTAAAAAAAGTCCACCTTTTAGTGTCCACTCTTAATAGGTATTGTACTACCAGTAAAATGTTACAAACCCTTCCAGTAGCTGATATTCTTCCATGAATACCTCCTTGGTTGATTGGCTTTCCAGTTACACATGCATGAGCATTCAAGTCAGTGTGTCCTAAAACAAAGACACATATTACGAAAATTTTCTACAAAAAAAAAAGGCTATTGTTAAAAATATGAAAAAATACACACAAATATATTTTAGCAAAACCAAATCTTCTGATTTCTTGAGTGAAAACACTTCCAAAGTAATATCTTTTTAAGTTCTAAGTCAATACCAGATTGATTTCCAAATGATCAAAGTCAATATTTAAGAAATTCCACAACCTCTAACATGTTACTGAGGTACTTCTCATGCTTACACAAGTGCACCTATGCCCTAGTAAGATAACTAGCAAGTTTATTGGATAGGATACAACTTTATACTTTGTACAGAGCAATATCATAAATATTTTCTCTCACTTTTATAAAGTACTTTAGACAATTCCTATTGCAAGCACTGTTTTGTAAATAAGCTGGCAAATCCTATCCCACTATGTTCTCAGAGCAGCAATTCGAATAGTTTCTATAGGATACTTCTGCTTTTGGACTTATTGGATCAGCCCAGACTTTCTACAAAGTCATAAACATTTTATAATACTTTAGACAATTGTCGTTGTAACCATTATACTGTCAAAAAGTTGATATGTCCTATCCCACTGTGTTTTCAAAGCAGGGAAATTCTGGGAATTGTGCTGCATGAACTTATTTGATATTGATGGTGTCAAAGTACAATAACACCTAAACATGAATGGTGATTCATTGCTTTATGTTTGGCAGGTTTTTACTTCAGCCTATAACAGGAAATAGATGTAAAAAGATTAGAAGAAACTCTCAGATTTACTTGGAACTTTACTGTCTATACTGAAAAGAACAGAGTACTATTCATTTTGTTTCTTCTAGTTTCTGACTCATCTACTAGCAATAAAATAACTACAGAAAATAAGTGTGAAAAGGTGAGAGTGTAAACTCTGACCATAAGTAATTTGAAAGTTTGTAATTACTACTTATAAATGCAATACACTTTATTTTCATTATACTTTGATTACTTACTTACAACCTGGAGAAATAAGTATAATGTTACAGTACAAAAAATAACAAATAAAATATAAAGTTTTACTGAAAATAAAAATGTTTGATATTTAATTACGAGATTTTTATTTTCATTTGTTTTGTTTATTATCATAAAAGTAACTAAAATGATAAAAATAGAAAGTTGTTAGGTAAGATAATGAAAGAAAAATAAAAAAAAACCTTCATTGGGTATACACGCCAGCAGCTTCTGTATTACACTGTTTGATAGGGTTATATCGATGCACGTGCACTGTGTAATTTTCAACTTCTGTCGGGGTATTTTTAGTCAGACACAGTTCAAAGGTCAATAAAACAAAAATTAATAAATATAAATAGATATTATTTAAATAACGTTTGATGATTATATGTAAGGATATACAGATTATGCACAAGCAAATTGACAAATTTCAAATAAAAAAAAATATTTGTAATCTTAAAATCAAAATTACTTTGTACATTGGACAGTCAACATTCCGAAAGAAAAAATTCAAGAGAAAATGTTTAATGAACAAAATCTTAAAACATAATTTAAAAACCAGATATTTTGTGTACAAAATCCTTGTAATGTTTATTAATAATCTGCAAAATTTTGTAAAGACTTGCATACATTTTCAAAACTTATAGTACAATTACTTTCATAGATACTTTCCTGGTTATGGGCTGGGTGGAATCCATCCAGCGCATAATAAAAAGATTAACTGCTTCTCTGGTTATCACAAATATACTTGAGCCAAGCAGTTTTGTAAGTAATTATTATACCATTTTAAATCAGGTTTCTTGTATGCAGAAAAATTTTCATCCAAGTAAACTTGATGCCAGACTAAAATTCCACTTCCTACCAATTGCTTATTCCCCCAATAGATGGTAGCATAAGCAGGTGTTTTTTTTTTTGTAACCAGCTTCTTTTAAGTGTGTGGCATCTATTGACAAAGGGTAGAGCTTATCATTTTACTGGTTGCATTTTCGAATTTTTGGGTTCCTAAAATGGAAAGTTAAGATGAATTTTATGATGGTGATGCTGAATATATGGATAGTGACAGTGAAGTTAATGTGTTATATGAAGAAGTTCAGATTCTAACAGCTCGGGTGATTTATCTCTTGCTAAGAGTTTGGACTAAAGAGAAGACATTACCGCCTCTTATTCCACCTATTCCATGATTTTCATACACACACACACACACACATATACTTCCACTGTCAATTACACAGCTGATCCAGATGATAGGATTTTACAATAAATTTCAACCTTTTTTTTGGATGATGAACTAGTTGATGCAATAAAAAATGAAACTAACAGATTTGCAGAACAATGTTTGACACAAGCATCCTGGTCACACAATAATGACAGAAACAAATGGCACCCTACTACCAGTGACAAAATTTGTTTTCTTAGCCATTATCATTTTACAAAGTATTGGTCAAAGAAGTCAATAATTTCCCCACCCTTTTCCTAACGAACAAAGTCATACAAGAGATTTTGTAAAATAAAACAATACTCGCACATTTCAAACAATGAAGAATATGACCATAATTCCATCCAAATCCTAAACTGAATAAAATATGGCCTGTTTACCAGAACCTAGTTGATAAATTTAGAAATCTGTAGACACCTGAAAGAGACATCACTCTAAATGAAAGTCTCTTGCTTTATAGAGCAATACTTGGTTGAGTTAAATATATTCTTTTGAACACAGCAAGGTTTGGGATCAAAATTTGTATGCTTTGTGAATCTAAAAGTCATCCATTATATACACTACAAAAGGTACCATCATCACAAGTGGTCATGACACTTGCAAAACCTTTATTGAAAAATGGATACTGCCTCACCATGGATAATTTTTATACGTCACCATAACTGGTTGACCTACTTGTGGAACAAAAAAAAAGACATATGGGATGGTGAAACTTCCAAGGAAAAACATGCCTAATGATTTGCAAAGCAAAACATTGAAGGAAGGAGAAATTGCAGCCTACAAAAGAGGAAAGATTACTGTTATGTGTTGGAAAGACAAAAATGGTGTGATGCTGCTCTCCACCATACATAATGCAAAAATGGTGACTATGGGAAAAAAAAGGAAAATAAAGATAAAGCTGAAAATAGTACTGGATTACAATAATACAATGAGAGGAGTGGACAGAGCTGACCAGCAAGGAAACGAGGCAAGAAGCATTATAAAAATATATTCTTTCATCTTGTAGATCTGGCCCTGTAGTATTCATGTATCCTTTATTCTAAAACAGGAGGTGTCAATACACCTTTGCAGTATAGAATGAAGGTGATCGAGAAGATGATGGAGAAATATCAAACACCTGCATTATTCCCCAAAATAGTACTTCCAGGAACAACACTGCCTCCATTTTGTATCTCAGAAAGACACTTCCCGTAGATTATACCACTAACATAGAAAACAAATCCAATGAGACAAGGTGTGGCTAATGGGAATCCGAAGAGAAAGCAGATATTTTTGTCCTGATTGTGATGTATCACTCTGTTGCACCTTGCTTCCAAATATACCATACTGCAACAAACATCTAGTTGAATATGTTATAGACTTAATAGAGTTTTCCGACAAGTAATTTCAAATGCTAACAAAAATATACAGAGGTAGAATATTTTACCAATTGTTGAAGAATATGTGTCTGCAATCCAACTCATTTCTCGTTCTCCAGTACCCATGTCAGGTGCTGGAACATCTAGGCCAGGTCCTAAAAATAAAAGTAATTTTTCCATATTTCTTTTAGATTTTAGTGTTAAGTGATTCTGTTTAAATTATTACTAAAATTGATAAAGTCCTTGATTAATAGTAATTTAAGTACATGAAAGCAAAAGTCTCCTAGGTTGCTAAATGAACTGTTATTTTATTATTGTTTAAACACCACTCAAAAGAATTTTAGGTTAATTGAATTTGGTACTATTATAACTATGAATATCACATCCACTGTTGTAAAATATTATCAATCTACCCTCAATTAACTTTTATGTAAACCAAGCATCTATGACATATCATGTGGCCTGACATGTTAATGATTAGACATTCAGTTTAAGCTCATAAATGAACCCATTCATTTAATTTCTTCTTTAAGGAATGTGTTAGCTCATTTAGAACAGTGAAGGTGGGTAATGCCACCTATTAGGCTAAAGTTGGAAGCAACTGTACCAGAATATAACAACACAAGAGACATAGCAGGTGTGATATTAATGAATTCTTTCCACATGATGTAGAGGTTGATCCACGCACCAATGTATATTCTTTCTCACACCATACTTCTATTGCCATTACCACATGCATCCCATTGGTCCACTGGATGTGTTTTTGCAAGCTGTTTTGTGCCTTACCACGAATGTGATACATCTCAATGGCCTTCTGGCATACAGGATAGGTTAGTGAAATCTGTTTCTAATCATTTGCATGCTGCAACTGAGAACGTCTGAGTTAATCTCAGAGCCTATGCCCAATGTTTGTCGCAAGTCAAAGTCAAAGACAGCAATGATCTACTGGTGTCATAAATGATTGTCTCCCTTGTTCAAGTGTCCATAAAATAATACCATTGATCTGGAAGAAGTTACACATTCTATTAATAACACTTTAAACCTATTCACAACAGCATAAACAGGTACAACATCTAAATGTCTTCTCTTACGCTTAGTCATGATTCACGAGCAATTTAGAATATTAAACTGTGATTCACTTGAAAGTTATGACTCAGATAACATTGCATGCAAACAAAACATACAGTAGAGGTTGAACAACTAATCAATTGCATTTCTTACCACATGGCTGGTCATCAGATGCCTAATTTTCACAACAATGAACTGAGAGGAAGGTAATTATCATTATTTGCTATAGCTATAATGTTATATTTCAGTTATCCTCCAACTTGTTTGAACAGTATATATCCACATTTACTTGTGTTTTATATCTCAATATGTATGTAAAATTACATATAAAATTCATACTTTCACAACGTACTATTTGTAATTAATTTTTAATACAAGAAATTGTTTCTACTAAACTTTAGTTCCTGAGTACTATAGTAGATACATGATTTATAAAAGTAAATTAAAATAGATTAGAAATGTGCATTTATATTAATAGCTACCAAGAAATCCTTTCTTTGAAAGCATTAAGGCAAAATTTCTTGTGATTTTCTCTAACTCGTGTTCACTGTATTCTTTGGGGTTTATCTTAAGTCCTGCCTTGCCACCTCCAAAGGGAACATCCACTACAGCACACTTGAAAGTCATCAAGGCAGACAGGGCTTTGACTTCATCAACACTTACATCCAAGCTGTATCGAATACCTAAACAAACAAATATCCTTCTGAGATTTAACCAATCTTCAATCAAAGCAACAGTTTCTGGAAAAATATTTTAACACTCTTAATTATACCTACCAATGAGTTGGTTTTAAATCTTTATAAATAATCTTCTGCCAGTCACACGTATAGATTAATGCCATACTTCACTACCTAAAGTTGGTTTTAAAGTAAAGTTTAAGTACAAAATTAAAATTCAGAGTAATAATCATGTAATTATACTAATTCACTAGATGTTAGTATACCCATTTCACACTTCCCATAAATTAGTAACTTTATAGCATTTTGTAATATAAAACTTGTGACTATTAGCCACCTAAATATATATGAGCCTCTAAATTAAACAAAGTATCCTTTCCATCTCTATATATACACACACATATATACACTTGTCCAATGAAGTTGTTAAAAAATTCCAACTATCTGATGTTAGATTAATAATGTATGCATACTTAAGAAATAATTGTCCTTAAAAACTAACTTGCATTTACAAATGAAATCCCAAGTTAAAATTCAGTCAGGGCTAATTTCTTAACATTCTGATTCATTATCATGGCAACTAGAGTTGGACAATTGACTCGACTAATTGATTATCTATGAGCATTGAATACATTGATTACCAAAACGTCAATAATCGATTTATCAAAATCATGATTAAATTAATTAATCCCACAAAAGTAATCAACTGATGATAATCACTGCTTTTGATTATTACTACTTTCAATTATTCCAACTATCTAAATTTCATATGAGAATAACTGATCAGTAGAATGTAACTGACTAATGAGCCCAAGGATTAATCAGTCAGCAAATATCACTTATTACCCAGCTCTAATGGCAACCAAGTATGGTTATGAGCCCTCCTACTCTTCCCAAGAGCCAACTGTTGGTAAATCAAACCATTTTTACAGTGAATAGCCTTTTCAAGAAAAAAAATGTTAAAATACATAACTCTATCAAGTTAAGTACAGCATTTTTTAAATTAAATAATTATTTCTTTTACTAAAGTAACAAGCTGAAATCTCTTTAACCACAAAATGGGTGAAACATATCTCTATTAAATGTTAATAAATACTTTTTAACAGTTAAGCTATTTAATCTACAATATAACTTACATCTTGCTCCTCATCAACATGTTAAATATTAATTTTATACAAATCAAATATCTACGATGAGATAACATAACTTCACATTACACAACGTGAAGCCTAATTGTTATAAATCAAATTTTTTATATATTTATATTGTACTCCCATGTTTTAATTTTAAAATGGACATACTGACTGGTAGAAAGAATTAGCCTGATCACATTCATCACTGCACTATGCAAACCATCCAATGATGGATGCACAAAAGTACATTTTAACATTAGTTTAACATTAGAAAGCAGAAAGATATTAATGTAATGTACGATACTTTAATAGTTGGTACATAAACTAATGCCATTACTAATAAAAAATTTAAACTTAGTGCTCATACTTAAAAAGACTAGTTCACTATTCTAAAAACTGAGCAAAATGCACATTATAGGAAATCAAGGTAAACCTTAAAACACCCATCAAAAATACTCCTGTCAGTGCTTTAGACTAAACAGTACATGTGCCTTTAACATTTGATGTACTTTTTTCACTGCATTAATCACAGAATGTAAATATAAAATGCAGGAAAGTAGTTTCCACAGTGATTTGGTGCATACTTATTTAGATGACTTGAGCCAAAGAATACATTTATTATTAAAGATGGATTGAAAAAAGTAAAAGTACATTTAACTAATGCAAGTAAGATGTAGTCAAAAGACAAACTTTAAAGGAAAATATAGAAGTTAAACCACAGACTTCCAGTAGCTGTAAGGTTGTCAACCTTTTGAAACAAAAATGAAGACAAACTGAATATTTTAGAACCTGATTAAGAACATGTCTGTAGAATGTAATTTAGGACAAGGAGAGTGCAACCCCATTTTCAGATGGTAAACAATGCAAGGCCCCTTTCAAGACTACATTCACAGAAACTTAGCAAAGCATTGTATATTACTGCAGTCAAGATGGAAAATGATGTGCAGTGGACACATTATATTCCTCTTATTTTGGTTGATGAAGAATCAGTGTCAGAACACTGGAATTAGCCAAGGTTCCCATGTTAAAGCATCAGTTAGAGCACGTATCTTAACATCATGACCTGTAACAGTATGACATGCATTTAAGGTTCTAACTGCTCAGTAATTTTTGGTACATATACAAGAAAACATCTGTGCCTGCCAAGGTTGGTGATTAACAAGTTTTAAAGTATTTCTGATAATTATCCATTTATCAATTTTGGTTTAAAATCACACGTGGCATACTTGGACGTTACATCTTTTTATGAGTAAAGGGAAGGAAAAACTTAAGTTTTGTGTAATGAAAGATTCACTAATTAGATATACTGAAAAGATTTACATGTAGTGAAGTACAGTGTAACACAGAGAAATTGCAAACAAGAAACTAGCTCCATATTTATGCAGTGATGGACCCTATTTAAACAAATTGTGTCTGGAAACACAGACTTTAATGGTTCTGCTTTAACAAACTTTAGTTAGCAGTGAGAGAAGTCCCTTAACTTTTAAAGCTTACATGTGTGCCTTGACTTGCAAGACATGCAGCTAATAAACTGAACTGATAAAATGATGAGGAAGTGGGATGTACGTTGTTTCTTTAACATTAATAACTAGTCTTTGTAAATATTTGTTTAGCATTAAGGCTGTAGTTGTATTTAACATACTTAGAGGAGGGAGTTCTTTGCTTATCAAATATAAGCTGAATGCCATGACAGAAGTGAAATTTCAGAGGCTGGTAAAAATGTAAGGTGTTTAGGTGAAGAGTATAAAGAACTAGCCCTTTAATAGTACTGAATTTTACATATGTTATATGTCTGCATAAAGAATATGGAATAACAACACTGTGAGCAGTACCGATAGTACTTTGGGTAAAGACACCAAATAAGATTTAGTATTTGCTTCTTACATCTTTAAAATATTGCCTGCACAAGTTACATTCATGTATGACTTAGAAAATACATTAAAAGCTGTACATAATTAAAAAAATTTTTTGAGGGTAGATGAATTTATGTACTGAAAATTTAAACAAACATGTGAATGTTCAAAGAAAAGTTTGATATTTAAAATTTCACACACACACACACACACACACACATATATATATATATATAAACACACACACATACATACATACAGGTAGGAGACTTTAGCTCAAACTGCTCATCAAATCCAAAAATGTATGAAGATGTGTTGATGAAATTATACGAAGTTCAATGAGTTTCCTAGAAATGCACGTCTTAGTTGATCCTAGTAGTATTAACATTTACATAAGACTAACACATGCAAGTATTCAGTGATAAAATAAATATACTCATATTTCTTCTTATTTTTCAATATTGTAGATTAGTAGAAGCATTACTGCCACAGTAGTTACATGGCATATTTCTTACAGTGATGTGTGTAGATCTGTTTTTAGTATCTCAATCTCGTGTTTTCTGACAAACACAGGCTCACCAATTTAGTATATGCTGTTTTTTTTAGAAAAACAACTCTAAAAGATTTGGACTAGAAAAACATTTGGCTTTCTTACTAGTAGAATATAAAAATATTGTATACCTACTACAATGTGTTTCATGATACCAAAAGCAAACATTTTGACAACTAGATACTGTGGATAATGTTTGATCACCAGATGAAAATTTGATTTTAATTTAAGTATATTTAAATGAACAATAGGCATAAAACTCGTGTAAAGCTGTAGTTTAACTGATTTCTATGCACAGATTTTAGACACCTATTGGTTTATAATGTTTTGCCAGCTTTCAGCATCTAAACTGCCATCCTCAGTAGTTGTACAGAGACTAACACTGCTTTCACTGAGGTTTATGCTGCCACTTGTTACTATGCCAAAAATTGCAAATAAAAATACTTTACTAATTTTCAATGACACTCTTGTGAGCAAGGTAATTTATGTAAGCCAAAAAACAATTTATTTGAAAAAATCAATAATCTTAAGCAACAATGCGATTTCATTGTAATTACTTGTTTTGGTTTCCATAGCAATGGATATTACATAATTGAACTCTTTGGAGAAATGTGGTCATTCCATATATTTTCGCTAACTTTGATAATTATTATTACCTTCTGATCATCACAAACTACCTTCTTAGAGAAAAACTAAAAATTAACCTGGTAATGTGTATTTGTTTGTTAAACTTTAAACCAAAACTACTTGAGAGCTATCTGTTCTCATCTATCCTAATTTTGATGGGATAGACTGAGGGAAAACAGCTAAATGCATTGTTTCATTAGTTGAGTACTCCTTCTGTTAACAATATGTTTTCAATATCTTACCCAACTCGACTATTTTCAAATAGGACAAGACTGATGCACAATAACTCTGCTAAATCTTTTATGAATATCAGGCTCAATTTTTTCATATCACAGCAATTAATAGTACCAAAATTAAATCACCTGTGTAATAAACATTAAAGTATAAGTATGACAAACAACATCATTTATTGCAATGTCTCAATGTCATTAACTTGCTATATTGTTTAAGTTCTCCAAGTACATTATATCTAAATAATATTAGATGAGAATTATTACCTGTAACAATTAATATTTCAGAATATTGTAATACAAGTTCACAGTTTTACATATACTGTTAATATCTACTATCAAATTAGTTTCTGTGAAATTAAGCTTTAATTAGAATGAGTCTTATACTACTTTAGGATCAGAATAACGTTAGTCATAATTTTTTCATAGTTATACAGAGTGCAATTTAGTTTTACTGAGTTTGCTTCCCCAGTATATTAAAAACAATAGCTTTGCAAGGCAATCAGTAGCAAAGACATTTCCCTTTGGTAAAAAAAAAGTATATATATATATATATATGTAAATTAGCAATCAAAACATACATTACTGAGAAACATTGCACACAGAGTCAGAACACAACAGAATGAAGTTCCATCTTTTTTACATTTTGTTCCTACTACTCTGAATGAAAGAAAACAGTTATATAAAAAGGGAAAGTTCCCTTTCTTCAAATTCAAACTTAACAACTTTTTGCTCATTATGCAAAGATACTCGCCATTAGAAACAAGTACTTATCACAACATCACCAGCTGAAACACTGCTTTTAGTTATAATTTTTGTAGATAATTCAGAAATGTAAAATTCATGTAGAGTGGAAAATGAAGGTAGGAATAGCACCTCTACTGGATCTTTTTGATCCACACTTCAACAAAGAATCTTAGAAGTACAGACTTTGTGCACTTTTGCATACTTATAAGATAGTTGTCTCAGGGATCCCAAGAAACATATAATTACACCATTTTGTTTAACTGAATGTTTTAACTATTAAATTGGAGATTCCACATATGCTATAAGATGTGCAAAAGATACAGTAAACATATTTATAATTGTAACTTAATGAAATTTTTTTTTCTACAAAAAGTTCGCATATATACATTTATTTTTCATACTCATTCCACAATGATTAAAATCATGAGAACACACGTTATACATGTAGTTGAATAGATATAGGTCACCATAAATAAAAAAGAAGAAGTTTCAACTCGATATTGAAGTTCATGAACACAGATAAAATTAAATGATTCATCTAGGGCAAGTTGTTGAGTATTATTGTCAATAATTCACAGCCTTGACTGCTCAAACCAGATGATGATGACGTTTTATTGAAGGTTATATAAACAATATTAAACTTGAGTTCTTAGAGTTACCATCTTCAGTAACTGTGATAGACTATCACTGCTTTATACTACTTAAATACAAACTTCTATAAATAGCTCTCTGATCTCAACTTATATGAAGTATTCAAACAATTATCAAACACACACAAAAAGCCTTTACTTTGTCCAGAACACTTATTTTACTATCATACAAGTACTATCCATACTCCAAGTAAATAACATGACTGTTCTCAATAGTTCAGCAATTGTTTTACATTCAAACCCACTCAAAATTCATCTCCCATATGATCTACATATCTGTACTTACATATAATAAAGTAGTAATGTTATAACGGAAAATTTATCAAATATTACATACACAAGACATTTGGCTGAAACTTCAAAACAAATTGCTTAAGGCACTATATTTAATATTATGTGATTAGAATTTTAAACAATTATAAATGCTTTTAGTACTTGCATGGTAAAATCAAAGTATACAAAATCTAGTCACATGTTTAGAATTGTTCATGATAAATAATGAAAAACAATACACGGTTATTCTGGAATTCATCACTGGAAAAGTAAGTATGCAAACTAAACTACATTTTAGAATGAGACCAAAACTTCTGTGCAATGCTGTTTGGGGATATGGGTACTGTGGTGCATGATACACAGCTATATATTTTTACACATATATACATTTTAAATATCAATCTTTATGGGTAAAGAGAAGTGCAATCAAACTGACACTATATTTTTAAAGAAACTAGCTTAGAGGAAAGGCTTAGATAACTTAACTTTGTAACAACTCAAACTAACACATTCCACACCTCTAAAAATCAAGGCCTGTTCTCAGGCCTTACTTCAGAGTCATTAGACAACCACTAGTTAGGTGCCAGTATTTCTGTGGTAACTCAAATTTTGCATATCCTGTGAGCAGGACTGAACCCAAAACCTCTTCTAATGTTGCATGCCAGGTAAGTGCTCTATAATTTGACCAAAGGGGTTAACCGACTACCTATTTCTGATATTTAGTGGTAAGTCACGTCTTAACAGCTCAATCTATCACACAAGAACTCTCTTAACCATTCATATTTCTGTTGTTACGTATCAAACCATAAACGGGTTAACAATTAATAAAAACTTTTCAAAATTAACGACACCAACATCATACAGATCTTTTTAAATTTTCCGACAATACCTCCTTTGCATGGTGTTCTGTGATGGCTATGCTGGGCACGCCAACCATTTATCATTACATATTCTCCATTATCTCTTTTCAATGGAAATGAAATTTCTAGTACAGAATGACATGGTCCCATTAAACCAAGATAACCTCGAACTTTTTTTCGTTTCTCTTCCAAACTCATTTTGCCTTTAAAATCTTCAACTAATTTATCTTCTACAATCTGCCAGCCTCGATGGTAAAAGTACTCAACCATATGAAAAAATGATGGGTCTTCTGCATCGTCAACGTATTTTAAATCTTCTGGAATTTCATGTATACTATAATGCCGACTAGTCACAGTCACAACTGTGCTTCTAACTACCGCATGTCGCAAGATAATGTTTGAAGAAGTTGAAGATACGGTCGCTCGTAAAGATGAAACGCCATTTTTCGAAATGTGAGGAATCACGATTTTTCCTAGAGACGCGACAGCACGATGAAACATGTTTTATAGAATTTCACTACTTTAACACAAAAATAACAAAATTAAATTTAAAACAAGTCAATAAAGCACACAGACGATGCCTAACTTAACTTCAACCTAATTCGTCTTTGCTCTAACCTAACTACAGTGAGAAACAAAAATCCAAGGGCGTATAGAGGTGTGGCATTTCGTCACAATCAACCAACCAGGTAGGTAGCTATATTTTTTATTTAAAGATTAATGGCTTAGAAGTATTTATGGTCTGGGTAATTAGTACAGGCGTATTGTGAATATCATATTTTACAATATATTTAATCAAACAACCAACTGATACAAAAATGTTACCAATTATTTATACCTTGTATATCAGTGCAGGATTTGTCGTATATATATATATACATGTGTGTGTGTGTGTGTGTATGTCTTTCAGCGCAAAGCTACACACGAGCTATCTGCGATAGTATACACAATATCGTACAAAGAACTCTAAAACAAAGTTTAAATCCACAATAATAGAACAATAAAATTTATATGGACACAAGTTTCGACACTTTCACCTGTCCTCTTCAATCCAAAGTTTGTTTGTGAGAGAATATCCTATCCTCGTTGCAGGTATTTCTGTTTTGAAATTTTTTTAAATTTAAAAAGACAACCGGAGATGCTTAGAAATATTTATTTCTCTTCATCTCATTCGTGACTACTGGTGTTGCCACTTCTGAGAATCGGGGTAAAGTTGGAAAATTCGGAGTTAATCAGAGAAATCTTTGGTTATTTTAGCGTCAAGAATGTGTGAGAGAAACACATACACTGTTTTATTTATAATGGAAGTTTCTAGTCCCGGCATATGACGTCAGAAAAAAGTTCACTTTAAAGTGACCTTTAAATGCATTGAAGTTTGGCAACTTTTGTATTAATGAGTTTTCTACTATTCTTCTTTTGACATGATTTCTAGTTTATGTATTATTTTGGCTGATTTCCAGCTGATTTGATGATTAAAATGTTTTATGTGTTGAAAAAGAGCATTATATGTTTGTTCGTTTTTAACATCCTTTCTATGCTCTGCGAGCCTTGTGTCTACATTCTTCTCCGTTTCACCAACATAAACTTTTTCGCAGGATTGGGAGGGACTATATATATAGAAAGCCGACTCTTTAACTTGAGGTTCAGACTCATTGGAAGGTGCAGGGACGGATACAGGATTTCTGAAAGAGGGGGTCCGAAATTTGTTAACATATAATTGCTATCATAAGATATAAACGTACCGGTCATCATTTTTATTTAGTTTTGCTACAAAGGTAGTGATCTTCGTGTTATTAATAAAACAAAAATATCAAAGCATATTACGTATATTTCAACTAAATGATTTATTAAGTAAAAAATAATTTGTACATTTTGACATATTTGAGCAAAAAAATCATATGCATTAAGACCTATGTCATTCCATTAATGATGAGTGAAAATCAAATTATTATTTATAAAGAACTTTTATAGATTTTAACACAATGTTTTTCTGAATCTTATTTACATAATCTATTATTGGTGTACTTTGGTGACAGATTTTCTTGTAGGCAGATTTTGTTAAACAAGACCGATGTCTGTAGGTTTACTTTCTTCTTAGAATTCTTCTCAAGAAGTCGATAAACCGTCTTAACGTTGTTAGGAGAACAACGGGTAAAAGTTGTAGATAGTGATGAGTTTGCCAACGCGTTTCTAATGCGTTCTACATCCATTATCAAGGCTGAATGTTGTGTGAATTGTG